CTTTGGATGTTACAAATTGACTGGACACTTCTGGTAGCCATAAAGAAAAGTCTGACATAATTCTGTATGGATATTTGACCACTTTTCTTGGCAGAATATTAAGCGTTAAATTAAATTGATTGGCATGGGGGTTTTAAAACTATTCCACAGATTTTTAACAGGTCTGGGGTTGGTGTGTTAGGAAAGCTATTCCAAAGGTTTTATCAATTCCAACACCAGTTTTGATGTGTAAATGGGATGATGTTCCTATTAAGAATTATGTCCAAATGTGGAACTTCTAGCTGCTGATTTTATGTGAAGTTGAAGAATTTAGAGGCAGTCCTCTGTCTTCGTTATTCCATCCACTTTGTGCAATGTATCAGTACCACTAGGAGCAAAACGGCCTTAGATCATGATGCTATCACCACCATGCTATTGGCTAACTAGCTCAATCTTTTGTCTCATATGACCATAAAATTTTTCTCCAGAAGGCATCTGGCTGGTCTATATAAGCTTTTGCAAATTTCAGTCAAACATAAAACTGTTGATTTTGAGCAGAGCCTTCTATCGAAAGCTCCACAGTACACAGTGATGCTGGTGTTCCAGCAGTTTCCATTTCACGGCAGGCTTGAGCCTTGGTAGTTTCTGAATTATTCCTGGAATTCCAAACCGATCTCCTCTCATCTGAGGCTGACAGTTTGAGTCTTCTTAAAAACCTTAGCAAAGTGGTGACACATATGAATAACTTGTACTTAAGCACAACTGTCTTAACTGATAATCACAAAATCTGCAGTTATTTAGAAATGACTCTAAGAAATCTTGTCAACTTGTATGAATTCACAATTCTCCTTAGAACTTCGAAGTTTACTGGATTTTCCCATTATTCTGAGTGTGGGTCACTGCAATGAATGCCGTCACAGAGAAATTACGAAAGAGTAGTCAATCATGATCGCTAATCAACAACAGACCGTGTCAAGTTAAAACATACTGCACCATCTATTAAAAGATTATATTTGACACTGTATGTATTCTTTTTAACCTGTGAGGATTACATGAAATCCCCCCAAAAATACAAAAATACATGATGAGCGAATGTAAACTTCTGACCACAACTGAAGTCAGTAATATTCAATTCAATTCAATTTTATTTATACAGCGCCAAATCACAACAACAATAGCCTCAAGGTGCTTCATATTGTAAGGTGGGTGCTTTACATCCTACAATAATACATACAGAAAAGAACACAACAATCATATGAACCCCTATGAGCAAGCACTTTGGCGACAGTGGGAAGGAAAAACTCCCTTTTAACAGGAAGAAACCTCCAGCAGAACCGGCCATAACTGGAGACCATAATACTGGCCTAACAATAATAGGTTTTACCTGCCTCATGTCAACTGATTGAGTTAATCCTTTCTCTTCCAGACATTTTGAAAAATAGCAGCTGCAGAAAACGTAGCAAAATATATACATGGAAGAAATGAACACCACTGAACAGCCTATCACAACCGCTGCGGACTGCATCATCCATCATGTAGTTACATTTTGGGGGCAGTGCATGTTAGGCTACAGCATCAGTTACAGCAAAGGGGTTCAGAAAGGTTTGTGGCTACGCTGTACCTATAACGTAGTTTTAACAAAGTATAATTTCACTGTCAGACTGAGTGGAAGAAGTGCAACTGTAAATGACAGCAGTATACTGTTGCGTTATATGTGCCTCACAAGTCAGATGTTGCAGCAAGTTTAACAGTTTTACTGCTTTTTCGTGCATTACAGCCAGATTATCAAGTCAGGGTTGGTGGAGGGTTGCTCCAACTTTACTAACTGGTTCAACCACTTTATGCTTAACCATACAACCCTCACACCAAGCTGAAATTACACTGAATATCTACTTTCATTTGTTTCACTGTTAGCCTTTTGTAAAATAAAATGTATTAATTTAAAAAAAACTGTAAAATTAGATTGCTGTATGCATTTACTTGCTACATTTATTTTATAAACTCAGAAAAAGAATGTTTCAGTGAAGGCTGATGTTCCCTGGATGGTTTCCAGTCTCTTCCACGCACTGAGGACTGAAGCTTATTGAACACTGGTACTGGATTGGTACTTGGCACCGGTAGATACCCCTCAAAGACAGATGAACAACGGCCTTAATGGAATATTAGTGCCTAGTACTTTATTCAGACCAGGCCTTCCCTTCATCCACCCCCAACTCACAGCTGTTTATGCCAGGCCGGAGCAGCTCGCCGACCGCTGTTTCACAGAGCATGAAACCGCTTATTTCGACAGGATTCGGTGATTTGGAGCCATCCACTCAAGCTCAGAGACCGAGAAAATAAACAGACACTTCACATTACTGCAAGCGACAAGAACAGCGGGTGTTCGGAACAAACGGCCTAATTCATGTTTTAGCACAAAACATGAATGTCATTATTACACCGCTGCTGGTCGGGTTTAAAGTATACTCGCTAATATTATTACCTGCTTCATTCTCCCATGCTGGAGCTCAGGAGCAGCTCAAGTACAGAAGCTCAGTCCGGAAAATGGAGCATCTCACCTCCAAAAATCTTCATGGTCGTCGGTGTAGAGAAAGACACATAACTGTTGATGTACTCGAGAAAAACCCTGTTTTAGCTTTAAATATATATATATATATTTTGGCAACAGCGCGACGGCCGGTGATGCCACCACCTCCACAAATGAAGGCTCAGAAGAAAAAAAAAGTGAAATCCGTGTTTGGTCAGAACGGCTTTGTTTCCAGCAACAGCTGCTTATCCGCGGCGGGAAAACGGAAGGTTTCCTACTCGAATCTTTGTTTTCCTTCGTCCATATGTGAGGTGTGAACGGCCCATCCTCCACTGACAAATGTACCAGTGTCACTGTATGTGAGCGTCTACTGTACGGAGCCCAGATTTTCCTCATACGGTTCTAAACTACTCTCACTGGCTGCTGCCTGCGGGAAGGCGCAGACACCCACTACTTCCTATATTGCCTTTCAAAATAAAGAACTAGTTGTGTTTTTTAAATAGTGTTTTTGAGTGGATGTAAAGTTGATTTGGTTGTTTTCGTGTGATTTATGTTATAAACAGTACACCTAAAAAGCTCTTAAATGCTGTAGCAGTTGTCCCACCTCAGCCTTCCGCATGGTATAAACAGTTTGCTGCCTCGCACTGAAAATCATCTGATGATGATTTTTCAAAAACAAGTTTTTCTTGTAAAAGTCCCACTTTATTTGTAATTGCAAATTTTGTCACAATATCTTAAAAAAATGAAATGTGTATGAATAGGGTTTTTTTTAAAAAAAAGATTGTGTTGAAAAATAAATAGCTAAGCTTTAACTCTAAAATAAATTTCATGGCGTATGGCTAAATTGTTGTTTCTGCATTTTTGATTTATAAATCAATTATCTGCATTATTTTGAAGATAAGGCTACACAGTTTCCGGTAAGGTTTGCGTTCCTTGATAACTGACATACACAGAATGTCATGGGCAAAAGTGGATATTCCTAGTGAGGTGCCCCGTTTCGAGCACCGTCCAATAGAAAGGATAGACTGTGCAAGTGGGGCGTGGTTTGTTTTAGCGGAAGTGCTTTTTGGGGCATGTGCGGATGCATGCAGTGGGTGGTAAAGATAACAAAGACAGTACATTAGCGCTAAAGTAATCACGGTGTTTTCAGGATATTGTGCAGTGTGGCTGGTCGGTACAAGAAATTCAATTATTTGAAGATTTTTTTTCCTTTTATTTGAAAAATTGTGCGTATATGCAGCAGATGGTATAAATGCCACAGGATTGTTTTCACTCATAAATATACTCCATGATGTGGCTCCATGACTTCTACATTAAAATGCATGAAAAACAGCCCCATCCATAGAACTTTGGACCCACGTGTTAGACAACACTCATCTCCTTTGTCAGCAAAACAACATTACCGAGCATCACTGTCTTACCTGGAATGCTGAGTAATCCAGATCTGTGACACTGGTGGATGGGGTGGGTGGAGTCAAAAAAAAAAAGGTCAACATAACAAATGTCAGTGAGTTCATACGTAGCAATAAACAGCTACATTTTAGACACGACACTGTCTGACATCTTTAAAAGAACATTTCAACAAATTAGCTGCTGTTTGTTGTCTTTTGTGTGTGGTTTGTACAGAGGAATTACTCTCATCATACAAGCCTGTATACAAGCACAGTATCAGCAAACAGACTTTAACTACTACAAGTGACAGTATTAGAGGAACTGCACTTTCATTCCCAGGCTATAGCTTTCATTATTGGACAATAACTCTGAAACAGGACAAACTAGAGCTATATTTGACTCCTCATGTGAACCCAATTCAAAAGTTAAACAGTAGAATCTTAAAGTGGTCTAAAATAGAAATATGTATTTATTACCACAGATAGTGAATTGTATGATTTGTTTGCTCTAATGAGTACAGAGGTGGAGTTAGCCATTAGCTTAAAACAATAATAGCACTTAATTTGCACCATTTTATCATGTGATCTGCATTGTTGAAAAATAAAACCTGACCCATGATTTTTTGTATTTTCATCTACTACTGACCTGCGTTTAGATATGCGATTTAGTTCAATGCCTCCACAGACTGTATATAAAAGATGGAAGCTGAAGTCAAAAATAAATTCTGTATCTGATTAGCAAAATATGAGAAAAAGACTTTTTAGCCTCCTTGACCTATTTCCTCATAAATTATGGTTACTTTTTTTTACTAAGAACATTAGACTTTAGTTCATGTTTGACTCGCATACAAATCCACCCCCTCACTCAATATGTATTTGACAACATCAAGATGGTGTTTGTTAAAATATTCAA